AAGGCTAGCGCTCTACCACTTGAGCCATAGCGCCACTTCCGGCTTTTTTCTTTTTTCTTATGTGGTGCTGAGGAATCAAACCCAGGGCCTCATGCATGCAAGGCAGGCACTCTACCACTGAGCCACCTTCCCAGCCCCTTATTTTTTTAAGAGGGAGGGAAGAGCTTGAACTCAAGGCCTTGCAATTTTGCCTGCCTTTTTCCCACAAGGCTGGTACTCTAGCACTTGAACCAAACCTCCACTTCTGTTTTTTGTTGTTTAACTGGAGAGAAGAGTCTCACAGGCTTTTTTTTTTTTTGGTCACGGGGCTTGAACTTAGGGCCTGGGCCCTGTCCCTCAGCTCTTTTTTGCTCAAGGCTAGTGCTCTACCACTTTGATCCACAATGTCACTTCTGGTTTTTGAGTGGTAAATGGAAATAAAGAGTCACAGAGACTTTTCTGTCCAGGGTGGCTTTAAACCACCATCTCAGATCTCAGTCTCCTGAGTAGCTAGGAGTATAGACATGAGCCACTGGTGCCTGGGTTCTCAATAAGATTTCCTTCCTTCCTTCCTTCCTTACTTCCTTCCTTCCTCCCTTCCTTCCATTTTTTCTTTGTTTCTTTCTTTCTTGTGGGGCTTGAGCTTGGGGCCTGGGTGCTATTCCTAAGCTCTTCTGTTCAAGGCTAGTGCTCTACCACTTTGAGCCACAGCGCCACTTCTGGTTTTCTGGTGGTTAATTGGAGATAAGCCTGGCTGACTCCTCAGTCTTCAGCTCTCATCCTCTAGAGTAGCTAGGATAACAGTGAGGCTCTAGTACCTAGCTTCCAGTAGTCTTCTGGACCCTGGTCAGGTACACTGGCTGCTCTCCTTCCTTCTTTTCCCTATCTCATGCACATTTATATCCACCAGGCCCATTCGATTCTCTTGATGAAGTTGTCATGTGGTCTCTTCCTGTCTGGCCTCAAGGTCATAGCTTCTCACTGGGATTAACCACCTCCAGATTGCTTTCCTTACCTGTGGCTGACCTCCTTTGACTCAGCTTCCACATCAAGGGCAAGTTATTCCTCACCTGCCTGCAACTTTTTTTTTTTCAGTTCTGGGGCTTGAACTCTGGGCCTGGGTGCTGCCCATCAGCTCTTCAGCTCAAGGCTAACACTCTACCACTTGAACCACAGCACCACTTCCAGTTTTCTGGTGGTTAATTGGAGATAAGAGTCTCATGGACTTTTCTGTGCAGGGTGGCTTTGAACCGTGATCCTCAGATCTCAGCCTCCTGAGTAGCTAAGATTTACAGGCGTGAGCCACTGCTGTCCAGCTACCTGTGACTTTTTTGTGTCTGTGGTACTGGGATCAAACTCAGGACCTTGCATGTGTTAGGTATGCACCTTACCATGGAGCTACGTCTTCAGCCCTCTGCAACTCTCCATGGCCCTCCTAGCCTATGGTTTGATCATGCATCCCCCAAAGTCAAATGTTTCTAGCATGTATTCCCCAAGCAGACACTTGCCCATCCTTTAAGATGGCCCCAACTAGCTTCCCATCCTGGGATTTGCACCTTTGAGTGATTCCTCCCACAGTGAGTAGGAATGACCTGACAGCACAGTGAAGAAATGATGGTTACTTCTAAGGCTAGACCATAGAAGGAATCATGTTCTCAGTCACTCACTCTGGGAGGATACTCAAGCAGTCCTGGGGCATCCTGCCAACAGCTACCACTAAGTTGTTCAACCTGTGACTTGGTTACTTGGAATGTGATCTTCCAATCTGGGTCACATCTTCACATGAATGTGCCATTGATTGACATCTCGGTTGTACCTTTGCAAGAGATCCTGGGCCAGAACCCATGGTTAAAGCTGCATTCTGGCATCGGGGAAACTGGGTGAGAAGATCTTGTTTAAGGTTCTAGGTTGTAAGGTACTTATTTTGTAGCAGGAGATCACTAATTCACATGTGCAACTATACTTATCTGTTATGTACATTGTAAGTCATAGCCCTTTTCCAAATATAATGGATGAAGCTGAGTGCCCATGGCTCACGCCTGTAATCCTAGCTACTCAGGAGGCTGAGATCTGAGGATTATGGTTCTAAGCCAGCCCGGGAAGGAAAGTCCGTGAAACTCTGATCTCCAATAAACAACTCAGAAAACCAGAAGTGGCACTGTGGCTCAAGTGGTAGAGTTCTAGTCTTGAGCTGAATTGCTGAGGGACAGCGCCCAGGCCCAAAGTTCAAGCCCCATGACTGACAAGAAAAAAAAAGGATGAAAAAATATAAAGAGCTGTATATACATATGGGTTCTGATCCAAGCACTATTCCCTAATAAAATTTCTGAACATGGTTATAGGATAGAAATCAGATTTTAAGATGTCTTCCTTCAGGACATCCTGCAATAGAAAGATACACAGATCATCAGATCATGTTTACAGCTTTCTACAAGGCTTTTTTTTTTTTTTGCCAGTCCTGGAGCTTAAACTCAGGGCCTGAGCTTCTTTTACTCAAGGCTAGCACTCTACCACTCGAGCCACAGGACCACTTCCAGCTTTTTGTTTGTGTGGTACTGAGGAATTGAACCCAGGGCTTCATGAATGCTAGGCAAGTATTCTACCACTATGCCCAAGCTTTCTTTCTTTTCCTTCCTTCCTTTTCTTTTTCTTTCTTTCTTTTCCTTCTTTCCTTCCTTTCCCTCCCTCCCTCCCTCCCTCCCTCCCTCCCTTCCTTCCTTCCTTCCTTTCTTTTCTTTTTCTTTTGGGTCCAGTTGTGGGGCCTGAACTCTGGGCCAGGGCGCTGTCCCTCAGCTCTTCAGCTCAAGGCTAGCACTCTACCACTTGAGCCACAGTGCTACTTCCGGCTTTTTTTCTTTTTGCTTATGTGGTGCTGAGGAATCGAACCAAGGGCCTCAAGCATGCAAGGCAAGCGCTCTACACTGAGCCACCTTCCCAGCCCCTCTTCTTTTTTTGTTTTTGTTTTTTCCTTTTTTTTTCTTGTAGTGGTACTGGGGCTTGAAAACTCTGAGCCTTGTACTCTTGCTTGGCCTTTTCCACTTAAGTTTAGCATTCTGTCACTTGAGTCACAGCTCCACTTCCAGCTTTTTGGTGGGTAACTGGAGAGAAGAGTCTCACAGTCCTTCCTGCCTGAGCTGGCTTTGAACAGCAATCCTAGGATCTTAGCTTCCTGAGCACCTAGACATGAGCCACCAGTGCCAAACAGCTTTCTGTAGCTTTAAAGCTCAATACAACGGATAGTCAGCATCCAGATGAACACTCCAAAACCCTCTTTAGCTAGCTTCCTGCTAGAACTTGTTCTGAGGGTAAACCACTGTTCTTGCTAAATCAGCATAGTTTCATTTGCCTGAACAAACCAGATTCTAAGTGATAACATCAGACAGTGTTAAATGAGCAGGCCCAATTATCACCAAAATCACTGGCAGCAGGCCCAGTGCATGTCAACAGCACAAGGGTTTTTAGGACATAGACAAATGAGGGTGACACCAGATGGAAGTAAGGTTTAGTGAAACTTTCCTTTAAATATAATAGGAACCTTTAGGGTCCTTGACTTTGATTGCAGAATAAGAATTTCTGGACAAGTCACAATGGTTAGAAAACTTGGCAGAGCTTTATTGAGTAAGTAAACAAGAAGGCAAGCAGACAGACAAAAAAGCAGACAAACAGAAGGACAGGGGCACACTCTAGTAGAGTGTGGGTGCTCTCATAGGGACAGACACACAGATACAGCCATGCACATGCACACACAACAGAGAGAGAGAGAGAGAGAGAAGGGGGAGGGAGAGGGGAAGGGAGAGGGAGAGGGAGGGAGACACCCAGAGACACACAACTTCTTGGGCTGTTGGGTATTTATAGGGTAAAGGCAAAGGGTCTGGCTTTAAGTTATACAAAGCTAGGTGCTTCTCTTTGCTGTAACCACACCTGGTGTTATTCTCTGAATTAACAGGATAACTTAAGGAAACTGAGGCCTGGTGAAGGCAACTCAAAAATATGGTATTTAAAAACTTAGAAATGCCATCTTTGAGGGGCTGGGAAGGTGGCTCAGTGGTACAGCGCTTGCCTTGCATACATGAGGCTCTGAGTTCAATTCCTCAGCATCACATAAGCAGAAAAAGCCAAAAGTTGTGCTGTGGCTCAAGTGGTAGAGTGCTAGCCTTGAGCTGAAGAGCTGAGGGACAGCACCCAGGCCTAGAGTTCAGGCCCCACGACCGGACCCCCCCCCACCAAAAAAAAAGAAATGCCATCTTTGCTTCAAAGAGAGACAACTGAATGCATTCTTTCCTGAAGAATGCATTTCTCATGCAAGGATTAACAACTGTTTGACAGGATGCCCCCAAATGCAGATAGCAGGGTGTTTCTTTGTTTCAAGGATAAGTATCTGTTTTATGGCAAGGTGCATTCTTACCTGGAAACTCAGAGAATAACACCAGGTGTGGTGGGCTCAGGTTGCTCACCTGCAGAAAGGATTGCATTGTGACAACTGGAGTGAAGTAGAGAATCCTCAATCCCAAGGGAGATCCTCCCTGCCCTCCTCCCAATGCTTGGAGGACTGAGCCAGAGTGAGTGGGTCAAGTTAAGTCTGAACTGCTGGCAGGTGAGCCTACAGAAAGCTGAGGCCTGTGACTTTACCCCGATGCCAGGATCACAGCCCAGGACTGGGAACAAGCAGGCAACTTGTTGCTACCTTTGATCCAGACTATTAGGAGAAACAATTCTGGGAAATTTAGAGGAGGAAATCAAAGAGAGAGAGGGACAGAGAGGAAAGACTCCTCATCCCTTTGGGTCTAGCTCCCCCTCCCAAATTCTGCAATGAGGAATAAGGTAACTCTGTGTGCTTGTGCGCATGCGTGTGCATGTGTGTGAAGACCTGGGAATGACTCCTCCCTGGGGAGGAGGAGGGCAGAGTAACCCATCCCCCACTCCCACCCACACATATCCCTCAAGTTCCAAATCCATTTCCACCTCTGTTTACTGTCCAAAGTCCCAAACCCTGGAGATGCCAGGGTCTACATGCTCAGATACCCAGACACACAGGGCCCTCATATGGACCCGGTCTCTTCCCTTCCCTCTTGCTTTCAGCCCCCTCCTTAAGCCTGGAATCGGCACACAAAATTGAGGGGCCTGAGAGTCAGATCTCCAGATCTTCAGTAAGTAAAATGGGGAGAAAGGCTGAGAGTGTGGGGGACCACTGAGGGAGGGATGAGGGGCTCTGTGGGGGAGGGGAGGGGAAGGGTGGGAAATGGCAGAGGGTGGATGGTAGGTGTGAGGTTTGGGAGGAGATGGAGGAGAGAGAAAGGATCTCGGTGGGGTCGTAGTGTGGAGGTAACCCAGCTGGATAGGAAAAGGGACCGGCATCTCACACACCTTCCAGCACCAGCCCTATCATGACGAAGGAATATCAAGATCTCCAGCACCTGGACAATGAGGACAATGACCACCATCAGCTGCGGAGAGGTGAGGGATGCCTCTCCATGTACAAGGCCAGATTTGGTGGCTTTCACCCTTAAGCTTCAGCTCCTGGACCCCTTTCCAGAACCCTTGGCTCTATTCCTGGCTCTCTGCCTCATTCTCACAGAAAATGGTGGCTCAGTAGTTCCTAGAGTGAAGTCTGTGTGTGTGTGTGTTTGTGTGTGTGTTGATACTCGGGAATTTTAAGGGAAGGAGAAAGAATGTGAGGAATATGCCTGTTCTTCCTGCATGCAGCCAACGGTGGGTAGAATTCATGGAGAGAGGAAGAAACCTCTACTCTACTTTCATGGTTGGAGCAGTGGCTCCCTGCTGACCGCTGAGAGGAGATTCATAAGTTGCAGTGACAAAATTATACCACTAGGTGTCAGCAAAGACACAGGACCTCTGTTGTGCTGGAGCTGGTCAAAGCTTTGCACCCCTTTTCCATTCCCAGGTCATGTTGCTTCTGGCCTTACAGGTTACCTGCTGGCCAGATTTCTTAAGCTAAAGGCTTCCTCCCAGTCGCCTAGAGATTCTTAGCCTGCTCTCCTTCTAGAATCTGGCTACATCTGGCTCCCTGTTTCTCTGACCTCTGACACCCTCTCTTTGCAGGGCCTCTTCCTTCCAAGCCCCGGTTGCAGCGTCTTTGCTCTGGACCCCGTCTTTTCCTCCTCTCCTTGGGCCTCAGCCTCCTGCTGCTGGTGGTGGTCTGTGTGATCGGATCCCAAAGTGGGTGTGCCAAGAGTGGGCAGAGAAGGGAGAACTCTGGATGGGGGAGCGTGGGGAATGCTGGTGAGGGGAGGGACGAGCGCCATGGTGGATGCCACCATTTTGTTCCACCTACACTCTCTCCTCCACAGATTCTCAGATGCAAGGGGAGCTGCTGTCCCTGAGGGCAATCTTCAGCAACTTCACCGTGAGCATTGAGGCTGAGTTCAAGACCCTGAGCACCCAGGGTGAGGGGCTTGGAAACTGGGTCCCTGGGGCTGAGGGGTGGTTAGGGATGTCTGGACACTGAATGAGTTTCTCCCCTAGGAGGCAATGTGGGAAGAAAGATGAAGTCGCTGGAATCCCAGATGGAGAAAGAGCAGCAAAACCTGAGAGAAGGTGAGGGGGAGAAGGAGGGAGGAGAGAGAGAGAGAGAGAGCCCTACAGATACAGATAGAGCCACAGAGACAGATAGACAGAGCCACAGAGACAGAGATACACAGAGATAACAGAGAGCATCTGTGTTTGGTTTGATCAGGGAAGTGCAAGAGTCTCTCCTCATGTTTACACTGACCTCATTTCCCTCTCCCACTCTCTTCCTTCTACCCTCTGTCTACCCAGATCATATCAGCTTGCTGGTCCACGTGAAGCAGTTTGTGTCTGACCTGCGAAGTTTGAACTGTCAGTTGGCTGGGCTGCAGGGCAATGGTGAGGGGGAGGGGGAGCAGTTCCACTTTCCTACCCACATTCTCCTGCAAGCAATGCCTCAGCCCTTCACCCTCCATTTCTCCACACAGGCTCGGCGAAGTCCTGCTGCCCCATTAACTGGGTGGCGTATGAAGACAGCTGCTACTGGTTCTCCAACTCTGGGAAACCCTGGCCGGAGGCTGACAAGTATTGCCAGCTGGAGAATGCCCACCTGGTGGTGGTGAACTCTAAGGAGGAGCAGGTGAGGCCCCAAGGGGCTCATCTGGGAGTCTAGCTGGTAGAAGGGAGAGATCACCACCCTCTCTTCTCTCCTCAGCAATTTGTTCAGCACCATACTGGTCCTATAAACACCTGGATGGGTCTAACTGATCAAAATGGCCCCTGGAGATGGGTGGATGGGACTACCTATGATACTGGCTTCATGTGAGTGTGTGCATCTTCCCACAGCTGGCTCCCTTTGCCTGGGATCACCCTCCCCCCCTTTCCCAAACCTATGGCCCCAGGGCTGGTGGGGCTCCTGGGGACCTGGTTAAAAGACTGGCCTACTGGAGCACATGGCTGTCTCCTGTCTACAGAAACTGGAGACCAGAGCAGCCAGATAACTGGTACGGCCACGGGCTGGGAGGCGGCGAGGACTGTGCCCATTTTACTGCCGATGGTCGCTGGAATGATGACGTCTGCCAGAGGCCCTACCGCTGGGTCTGTGAGACAAAGCTGGACAAGGACAGCTAGGAACGTTCTTCTCTAATTTATTTCCTCACTGTCTTGAGCAGCTGAAGGTTAGGATTGAGATTCCTCCAATCTGGCAGTCTCTACACTCTTGATTTTCCTCCAGAACAAGAAAGGGGAAAGGGAAAGAATGGTATGTGAGGAGGGCGGGTGATTTCTGATGGGGGAGATGGAAACGCAGGACACTTGGGGCAGTGTGCAACTTATTATTGTCAACTTTTTCTAAGGTTAAAAAGAGAGCGAAAATGTATGTCCACACTCGGAGTTGTCTGGTCATTGGGATTAGGAGTCAGGGAAGGGGTCCACTGACATTTGAAAGCCTTGGGAGAGCCAGGCTGCCACCAGAGCTTTGAGCCAGAGCTTTGGCTAGGAGCCTGGCTTTGTTGTTTATAATCTATGACAGGGAAAAGTTAATCTTTTCTGAGTCTCAGTTGTAAAACAGTTTCGTTACTGATGATCCCCTACCCCACGCCCCAACCCTTTTAGCCCCCAGCTGAACCCTCCCAATTTTCTAAATGCTTCAAAAACCTTGAATGACAGTCACTGTTATCATAGTAAACAGAAACCACAGGCAAAGACAGGTGACAAATAGTGGGAGTCCACAACCCAGAGTCACCAAACACACAGCACAAAAAGGACGAAGAGGAGAAACACCCATGGGAATAGCATCAACAACCGGGGAGGGGAGCAAGAACTGACCAGTCAAGGTTCACAGATGCTTCTGGAATTATTCATAGAAGTAGAGAAAATATTTTCTCCTTAATAAAATCCAAACTGATTACAAAACGGAGCCATACTCTTATCAGGCTAAAGCAGTTAGAAAAATGAATATGGTAGTCCATCCTGGGAGCTGTATCAACATATAATTTTCTCACCATCCTTCTTAGAAAATTAGAAAAATGTAGTCAGGTGCTGGTGTCTTACATCTGCAATCCTAGCTACACAGGAAGCTGAGATCTGAGGATCAGCCACCTCTGGCAGAAAAGTCTGTGAGACTCTTATCCCTAATTAACCAGCCTAAAAAAAAAACTAGACTGGAAGTGTGACTCAAATGCTAGACTGCCAGCCTTTAGTGAAAAAGCCAAGGCAGAGTGCAAAACCCTGAGGTCAAACCCCAGGACTGACTCGTAAAAAAGAAAATAAAAATACAGATAATGATCCACTCCATACTCCAGCCCAACAGCATCAGGAAAAAAGTTTACATCTCTCTCTGACAGATAGATAGACCTAATAGGAAAGTAAACGCAATGTTTTTTATTTACCATTACCATTGTTGTATTTCCTTGGGTAAATTCCTTAGTAGTAGAGGTTGTAACTTCTAAACTTCCAAACAGGAAAATGGAAGGAAATAAGTATTCTAAAGGAATATAGACAGGGCTGGGTGTTGGTGGCTCATACCTGTAATCCTAGCTTCTCAGGAGGCTGAGATCTGAGGCAGGAAAGTCTGTAAGACTCTTATCTCCAATAAACCACCAGAAAACCAGAAGTGGTGCTGTAGCTCAAGTGGTAGAGTGCTTGCCTTGAGCTGAAGAGCTGAGGGACAGTGCCCAGACCCAGAGTTCAAGCCCCATGACCAACAAAAGAAAAGAAAAAAAGGAATATAGGAAAGTAGACCGGGAAAGAAAAGACCAACCCATGGGCTGGGAATGTGACTTAGTGGTAGAGCGCTTGCCTAGCATGCATGAAGCCCTGGGTTTGATTCCTCAGTACCACATACACAGACAAAGCCAGAAGTGGCGCTGTAGCTCAACTGGTAAGAGTGCTAACCTTGAGCACAGAGAGGCTCGGGGACAGTGCCTAGGCCTTGAGTGCAAGCCCCAGGATTGACCAAAAAAACCCAAACACAACAACACAAAAAAACCAATCCAGAACAAGAACCTAAGAAAAAGCAAGTTTGCATTTGTTGCCTGTGATGAGCTGTAGGGAGGTTTCAGCGGAAGAGGAGAGACCTCTGCATACCTGGAACTGATTAAAAGGAAAAGTATGTATTCAGTAGATAAATTATATAAAATATACTTTATAATAAAATGCTATTAAAGAGGATCACTTGCCAATGATAAAAATTTCAATTCAACAGGAAGGTACACCAATAGTTAATATATGTATACTGACTAGCATAGCCACAAAACATATAAAACTAAACATTTTTAAATGCAAGGTAAAGGTAGTCCAATTTACTCCTTTTTAAATAGAAAAGGTTGTATAACCATCAAGCCAACAAAAAGCCTTATGGATATAGATGTTTTGAACCCTATATTGAATCATCATGATCAAATGGACATATTTAGTATATTGTATTCATCAATTACAGAATAACCAGTCCTTCACTCATTTCTTTTGGATAGTACTAGGATTTGAACTCAGGGCCTTGCCTTCATCCAGGCTTTTGGCTGTTTTTTTTTAGAGATGGAGTCTTATGGACTTTTCTGTCTTAGAACCATATTTCTCTAAGTCTTAGCCTCCTGAGTAGCTAGGATTACAGGCTACTGGCACCACCTTCAAATAGCCAGCCCAGGCAGGAAAGTCTGTTGGACTCTTGAATTAATTACCATAAAGCCAGAAGTGGAGTTGTAACTCAAATGGTAGAAGGTCAGCCTTGAGACAAAAATGAGTGTGAGACCCTGAGTTCAAACACCAGTACCACCATTCCTATGCACACAAGAAAATGAAACAGGAAACTTCTAGAACAAGGAGTGCATGGGTCTAATATGCATGTGAAGATATGTATACATTAGCAACTATAGAAATGCAATTGTGAACATTGGTGAGTCATCTTTTCACATTTACCCAACTCGCAGTAAAAATAGAGAAAGGCGAGTGCTGGGAAGGACGTGGGAGAAAGAGTACCATATGGATTGCTGATGGGAGTGTAAATTGGAAGCCATTGTGTAAGTATTTAGTAGAATTAAGAATGCCTAGCTGAGCCGGGCACTGGTGGCTCATGCCTGTAATCCTAGCTACTCAGGAGGCTGAGATCTGAGGTTAGCGGTTCAAAGCCAGCCTGGACAGGAAAGTCCGTGACACTCTTATCTCCAATAAACCACTGGAAAACCAGAAGTGGTGCTGTGGCTCAAGCGGTGGAGCGCTTGCCTTGAGCTGAAGAGCTGAGGGACAGCGCCCAGGCCCAGAGTTCAGGCCCCATGACCAAATTAAAAAAAAAAAAAAGAATGCCTATATAGACCAGGCACTGGTGGCGCATGCCTGTAATCCCAGCTACTCAGGAGACTGAGATCTGAGGATTGTAGACTGAAGTCATCCTGGTCAGAAAAAACAAGCCAAAAAAAAAAAAAAAAGCCACAATTGGAGGTATGGTCAAGTGCAAAAAAGCTAAGGGACAACATGCAGGCCCTGAGTTCATGTCCCAGCACATGTACCAGTACAAAACAACAACAACAACAGTCAAAAACTGAAAAAATAAATTACTAGGTATACAGCCAGGAATAGGCCTCAAATCAGCGTAGGCTGAGAAGTAAAAAACAAAATGCAATCAACAACACAGTAACATCAATCAAAGTCAAAACCTGATACCCACATTACGTTACATAATATTTAAAGATATATAATATATAAAATATATTATATAACACATATGTTATATTAACTAATACACTATATATATATATAATGTTGTGTGTGTGTGTGTGTGGCTTGAATTCTAGGCCTGGGCACTGTCCCTGAGCTCTTCAACTCAAGACTAGCACTCTACCACTTGAGCCACAGCACCACTTCCAGTTTTCTAGTGGTTTATTGGAGGTAAGAATCTCACAGACTTTCTTACCCTGGCTGGCTTTAAACTACAATCCTCAGATCTCAGCCTCCTGAGTAGCTAGGATTATAGGCATGAGCCACCAGTACCCTGGTGAATACACATTATATTACAATATATAACTTATAATATTCAATATATAACATATTACATTAGTATGTTAATATATATCATTATACATTGTTAGGTTATATATATTTTTTTGGTTGGTTGTGGGGCTTTTTTGCTCAAGGCTAGTGCTCTACTCCTTTGAGCAACACCACCACTTCTAGGTTTTGAATGATTAACTGGAGATAAGAGTCTCATGGGGACTTTTCTGCCTAGACTGGTTTTGGACCTCAATCCTCAAATCTCAGCCTCCTGAGTAGCTAGGATTATAGGCATGAGCCTTGAGTGCCCGGCAGGATCTATATATTTTCAAGAACAAATGCCAGGGCTGGGAAGGTGGCTCAGTGGTAGAGTGCTTGCCTTGCATGCATGAAGCCCTGGGTTCGATTCCTTAGCACCACATAAGAAAAAAGAAAAAGCCGGAAGTGGCGCTGTCGCTTAAGTGGTAGAGCGCTAGCCTTGAGCTGAAGAGCTGAGGGACAGCGCCCAGGCCCAGAGTTCAGGCCCCATGACCGGACCAAAAAAAAAAAAAAAAAAGAACAAATGCCAAACTGATTCAAGTGTTTGCTTAGGAAGGAAGGAGTTTGGGAGTGTAACCAGAATGAAGGGAAAAAATGGAAATAAGAAAATACCCATGGTGGGGGGGAGTGTAGTTGTGGAGATGGGAGGGCAGGGATGGTAGGGGAAAAAACAAAGGAGGAAGTAAAAGTGCTTGATAAGAAATGTACTCATTACCTTGCTCATGTAACTGTCACTCATCTGTACAGTATTTTCACAATAAAAAACTTATAACAACAACAAAAAAAGAAAATACCCATGGTGAGAGTGTGCCTTGTACTGCCGAGGGGAGGCTCCAGCTCCAGCTCTGGTCTAGCAGGAACAACGTGTGTGTGCTTTGAAGCCCCACAGCCCTAGAGGTCCTAACCAAGAGAGATGAGGCATGCTCCCAGAGAAGGAAGCATGGGCAGCTGGACTAGTTCTGAAAGTCCATCCAGAGAAAGAAAGAAGAATCAAAAGGTGATGAGTCAGGTGCTGGTGGCTCACGCTTGTAAATGTAGCTACCCAGGAAACTGAGATCTGAAGACCATGGTTCAAAGCCAGCCCAGGCAGGAAAAGTCTGAGAGACTCTTATCTTCAATTAACCAGCAAAATGCTGGAAGTGGAGGTATGGCTCAAGTAATGGTTCACCAGCCTTGAGTGAAAAAAGCTAAGGGACAGCACCCAAACCCCAAGTTCAAGCCCAAGTACT